CGTCCTTGACTCCCAGCTTGAGGCGGGCATCTGCCAGGCCGATCTTCTGCCGGGCATCAAATCTCTGCTGGAAGGTGGTGGTGCGTGCTGGCTGGCTGAGAGGGCTGTGCTGGACCCCAACTCGAGAGCGAACGCCTCCCAGTCCCAGCCTGGTGTTGAGCCTGCAGATACAAACTGACAGTAAGTGACACGGGCAAGCACAGAAGTCCCACAGAGGCAGGAACCCTGGGAACGGGGCACTCTTTGTTACTTTTCTCTTGTTGCTAAGACAAATACCCGACACCCGAAGTTAAAGAGGAAAAGGTTTATTTATTTAAATAATTTTTATTTTATCCCATTTCCCCTGAACCTCCTCCCCCCTCATGTACAAAAACTGTTTCCATTTTTTCCTATTTTCATTTCTTCTTATCCCATCCTTCCTCCCTCCCTCCTCCTCTGTTCCCCTTCCCATCTGAACACTTTCATTCCATTTCCCAACATCCATTGTACATCTTAGTCCTTATTTCCACATTCAGTTTCTCACACCAGAGAAACAATGCAGCTTTTAAACATGTGCGTCTGATTTATTTCACTAAAGAGTATGGTCTCAAGGTCCATCCATTGGGCTATAAATGTCTGAAGCTCATCCTTTATGGCAGAGTAGTACTTCAGTGTGTGTGTGTGTGTGTGTGTGTGTGTGTGTGTGTGTGTGTGAAATGTCTGAAGCTCATCCTTTATGGCAGAGTAGTACTTCAGTGTGAGTGTGTGTGTGTGTGTGTGTGTGTGTGTGTGTGTGTGTATAAAAATAAATAAAACATCTTTATCCACTGTCAGTTGATGGGCATTTGTGGTTTCCAAGATTTAGCTTTAACAAATTGTGCTGCTATAAACACAAGAGTGCATACACCGCTATGGGAGGATGCTTTTAATTCTCTGGGAAGATACCAAGAAGAAGTATAGCTGGGTCAAATGGAATCTCTAGGCCGGGCGTGGTGGCACATGCCTGTAATCCCAGCACTCACGAGGCTGAGGCAGGAAGATCGCTGTGAGTTCGAGACCAGCCTGGAATACATAGCGAGTTCCAGGTCAGTGTCAACTACATAGTGAGACCCTGTCTCAAAAAAACCAAAAAAAAACCAACAGAATGGAATCTCTAGTTTTAGTTTTGTGAGAAATCTCCACACTGATTTCCACAATGGTTGCACCAGTCTACACTCCCACCAACAGTGGAGAAAGGTTTGTTTTTCCCCACAGCCCCTCCAGCATTTGTTATTGAATTCTTCAGAGCAGCCATTATTTCTGGAGATGGAATCTCAGCATTGTTTTAATTTGCATCTCACAAATATGTTAAACATTTTTTCATATATTTACTTGCCATTTCTAATTCTTTATCTGAGAAGTGTCTTTTTATTTCAGATGACCATTTTTGTAATGGGTCTTTAAATTTGGGGGATCTGATTTTTTTTAGTTCTTCATATATTCTAGATAAGTCCTTTATATAAATAGTTGGTAAAAAATTTTTCCCACTCTGTGGGTTATCTCTTCACTCTGTTGGTTTCTCTTGCTATGCAAAAGTCTTTGTTTTTAGGTTTGTTTGGGTTTTTTTGTTTGTTTTTGGTACTGGGGATCAAACCTGAGACCTTGTGCTTTTGAAGCTTTGAAGGCAGGAGGCGGAAACCACTGAGCTAAGTCCCCAGTCCAGTGCAAAAGGTTTTTAATAAGATGAGGTCCCAATTATTGATTCTTCATAGTATTTCTAGGTTTTGTTCATGAAGTTTCTGCTTACTCCTATGTCCTCAAGCATACTCTCTTTTCCAGCAGACTTAGTGTTTGTTTTAATATTTAAATCTTTAATCCATTTCAATCCATTTTAGGTTAGTGCATGGTGAAATATATAGGTCTAGTTTCCATCCCTGGCATGTGGAAAGCCAGTTTTTCCAGCACCGATTATTACAGAGGCTATCTTTCTTCCAGTGAAAGTGTTTGGCTCCTTTGTCAAAGACAAAGGTGGCTGAGCATGTCCGGAGTTGTTTCTGCATCTTCTAGTGCGTTTCATTGATCCACAGGTCTGTTCTTTTGCCAGTACCACACTGTTTTTAGCACAGTATCTTTGTAGTATAATTTCAGCTCAGAGATTGTGGTACCCCCCGCCAGGAAAGGTTTATTTAGCTCAGCAGTTTGTAGATGTTTCAGTTCACAGTTGGCTCCAAGGCAGAGTGGCACACAGCAGAGGAGAAAAAGTTCTGGAGCACTTAAATATCAAAATCAACAACAGACCTTAATTGGGCCGGGGATTTAGCTCAGTGGTTCCACCGCCTGACTCACAAGTGCAAGGACCTGAGGTCCAATCCCAAATTACAAAAAAACAAAAAACGAGACCTTCACAGCATCTTTCTGCCCCTTTAATCTTATCCAGACTACTTGTGCCAGTGGGCAGCACCCACACGCTTAATCCTAGTGCCCTTGAGCCTAGCATTGCACTATGGATCAATTCCACCCTCACACACTCAGATCCAGCCACCTCTGAAAAAGCCCCATGTATGACCGCACGAGGCTTTGGGGAAACATCTAGACAAAAGCCGTAACAGGGGCACATCTAGAGGGACTGGAGGGCTGCTCCTCCACGCACCCGAACAAACCACTAAGCCTACTTGAAGACATCTTCCATTGCCCTGTTCTGTGGTTTTAACTTTTCATCAAAAACAAAAGTCACCATGACAGACTGTAACATCCCAAGAATGTCAGGAAATGAAACAACCCCCAAATATTGCCACCTATCGAAGACCAACCTGCTTCCAAAGCTGTTCTGTGCCCGCTCTTACCACCCCAAGGGGAGTACCTGCCATGCCTGCTTCACAGGGGCAGCAGCATGACCAGCACAGGGTTCCCCTAACAGAGGTAGACACCACCTACGGGGCTGGGACCAAGGGAGCCACAGGTGGTCTCATTTAGGGCGAGGAAACTAACTCAAAATAAAGTACAGTGAGTAGGCCAGGGATTTGGCTCAGTGGTTCCACTGCCTGCCTCGCAAGCACAAGGGCCCGAGTTCAATACCCAGTACCAAAAAAGAAAAAGGAAGCACCCCTCACCATACAGCACCTGCAGCACCTTGATCACGGGCTTCCCAGCACCAAGGGAAATAAAAAGACACCTGACCAGGGGCCTGGGATTTGCCTCACAAGTGCAAGGACCTGAGTTCAATCCCCCGTAACCAAAAAAATCCAGACCTAACCAGTCCTAAAATTTCCTCCTTGGGAAATGGCAACTTTAAAACTGACTTTGCAGTGAATTTAGAAAAGGGCAGAAGAAGACATGAGATATTACAGAAGCAACCTCATGAGGTTTATAAGGTGGAGGGGCTGCTTGTTCAGCCCTGCTCTGTTTTAAAGACCAGGAGAGGCTGGGTATGGTGGTGGCCCATGGCTGTAACCTCAGCCCTCTGGTTGCCAATGCAGGAGGATCACAAGTTCAAGCCCAACCTGGGCAACACAGCAAGACCCTGCTCCCTACCCAAAAAGGGCTGGGGATGTAGCTTAATGCAAAGGCCCTGAGTTCAATGCCCTGTAGCACTCATCACCACCACCTTTTGCAAAATGGAGCTGCTTAGGGCCACCGGCCCAGCCCTGCTTCACCCCTGCAGGGGGCCCTCAGTGCTGGAAACTCCCACTCTCTTTTCAGGTTCAGTGTCCCGGCTGAGCTGCAGTGCCTCCAGCCTTCACGGAGGAGCTGAACAGCAGAGCTGGGCACAGCTGGGACACACACACACACACACACACACAGACACAGACACTCACACACACACACATGCACACCTGGAAATGGGAAGCATCAGAGAAAGCAGAGCCCCAGGGATGTGATGTGGAGGGGGCCGGGCATATGCAATTAGTGAGAACAGCTGTGCAGCAGATGGTGCCCACCTCTCCTGGGCCAGGCTACCCAAGGCTTTGTGGTCTGTGGCCTGCAAAGCCATGAGGCACAGTTGGGGCTGAGTCAGAAATCTGCAGCTACTCTGAGGGGTCCTTGGTGGAAATGGAGGCCCTACCTTCATATGGGTGCCCCCACTAGACTTTAAAAAAAAACC